GGGATTTGATATCTTACTCAAAGTGAACAAAACAATGGAGAAATCATTCACACCACTTCCTACTTAGCCTCCTAAATAAAGGAATTTCTTTGCATAAAGGGTTGTCCAGCCCTGGCACAGGCTGCCCAGGGCAGGTGACCCCATGGTCTCCATCCCTGAAGGGATTTAAAAACTATGTACATGTGACACTTGAGGACGTGGGTCAGTGGTTGGCTTTGCAATGCAGGGGGGACGGTTGGGCTTGGTCTTACAAGTCTTTTTGAACCTAAATGATTCTGTGATGCACTATTTGTATTCTGGGGCCAAGAATAGCAGTTCCCATTGCCTGCTAAAGCCCTGCAGCACCTGAGAAAGCCCACAAAAGTTTTCTTGTGTGTGTGATCACTGTTTACCTTCATGGAACTGGGTTGAGCTGGAGCTTGTGTCACCTGGGTCATAGTATTGGCTTCACAGATCAGCAGATTGTACTGCTCACTCAGGCAAGAGCCAAGGTGACAAATTGTAGCTACATCTGTTTGCAATTAGAGTTGCAAAAGATTATGTTCATGATTTAGCACAGTGGGCATGTTCCCAGGAGCTGTTACTTCACTGCAGAAATTGTGATCTGCAGGAAGGGCGATACTCTTGCTTCATGTCCTCCATTGATGGAAGAGCATCACTTCTGATATACCTGGTTATGCTTAAGGTATAGGTCTGATTTCTAAGAAGCTGCATGTTCAGAATTACAGTGGTGTCAGTAAAGTGCCACAGGTGTGACTTTCATCACCTCATTTCTTTTGCTGGGATGGGGAAGAATTGAAGGATGCTTAGAGAGCCACTCCCCATGGGAATCCCCAGCCTCATCTTTCATACATCAGAGGGAGTTGCTGTTTAGTTTCACATTTTTTAATCGAGCTGTTAGGAAAGGGTTAGTTGTCTTAGTTTTGTGGCTATTTATATTCAGTTCCTTCTGGGCTAGAAAATGAGAGGGCAAAAGCAAGTCATGCAAAAGCAATGGGTTGAACTGGATAAACGGAAATTACCTCAGAGGTCACTGATGTGACATACAGAGCAGGCATGGTAGTGCAGGGATGACTGCAGGTACAGCTACTGTTACCAAAAAACCCCACCCAAAAGTCATGGGAGTGGTCTTTGAATCTGGAAAGAACAAGAGCATAATCTGATTTTCTAGTTGTGGAAGGGGAAAGTAGTAGTCTTGAAAGACATCAGAATGTGGCTGGGTAGACATCAGATAATGATGTAACAAGAAAGTGTAAGGCACTGGAGGTCATGGCTTGACAGTTAAGGAATCTTAATTACTGGAGGCTTTTAAGAGCAGATTAGAAAGGCTTTGCTTACATGTTTATAATGTGAAGGAGTGTTGATCACGCTTTGGGACACAAAGATGGATTAGATGAGGGCTTGAGGGTACTACCAGCCTTGCTTTTTAATGAGAGCCTCAAGACATACTTGGCTAACATTAGATGAAGGCGTTTTATCTCACACATGTAACCATGACTCAGGGCTTGGGAGGATTTCCTGGGACTGTGGCAGTTCTTTAGCACCACTTCATCATGTATTACTACGCAGGTTGTGAAGCCTGGGTGGTGTTCTCCCTGCTGTGCCCACAGAGCAGCTGCACCGCTCCCCAGCTGCTTCTTTTCACATCACGTGAAGAGCATGAATATAGAGAGCAGCAGGACCAGGCTGACTGGATAGATGCCCAAAGACAGCCACGTGTTGCTTCCTAGCACAGGAAACTCAAGGAGAAAAAAATCCCCAGCAGCTGCATTTGAGCTGTGTGCCATAGCTGAGCCATCTGCTGCACATGCAGCATAAATCAGCAGCCAGTTGCCACGTCTGACAGTTCAGCTTTTGATGGAAAAGGGGCAAGTCAAATAAACAAGATGTATGGAGCCAATGGGCTGTGGAGAAGGTTTCTCACTGCTTTGGTTTTGCATGGGCAGTGTGCCTTGTAGGGCAAGTGCAGAATCCTTCCTCACTGTTGATGTTTTGGGATGGACCGGCTTTTCCAGCGCGGAGTTGGGATGCTGGCACATGAACACCTTGCAGAGGTCCTGCTGAGACAGGAGCACACAAGTCTGAGTGCTTGGCTGAGAAAACATTTGATTTTGGGCTTCCCTCTCTGCCCTGGCAGCTTTTGAGTGTTTCCACTGAGGTCACAGCAGGTGGCTGCGAGTTGGACCCTCAGCTGTTGATTGTTACAAAATAATCACCCAACTGAGAGTGACATGAATGCCTGAAGAAGCCTCTGCTGCTTCAGCCTCCCTTCAGATTACATCACCTGCTCCGCCCTGAGCTCCCAGACTGAGGTCTGGAGGCACCTGTCTGTTAACACCTGCAAACTGAGAGCAGGTGTGCTTGCTGGGAGCTCCTGCAGTTCTGGGGCAGCTGTCCACAGCATCGGATGCTGCGGGGCCAGAGCCAGAGCTGGGCTGAGCTGCAGACCCCTCAGTTTTCCCAACAAAGTGCAAAAAAAGATGTTCATGCTTTTTTACTGTGTGCTCAATTCCTCTTCCTGGAAAATATGAGGATCCAAATTCCACCTGAAAAAAAAAAAAGTAATTAAAATGATGCACTAGACGTGAAAAACGGTGGTCAACCTCCAGCAAAAACCTGTATACATTTTACCACCAAGTGACATCCTGTTCTTACCAGACCAATACACAAAACAATAACTGCTTTATTAAAAAAATAATTAAAATCGATCTGCAAACTGGTGAAGTAATGGGGATTTATTTAAATGAAAATATTTAGGTACTAATACCAGA